TGTGTGTGTGTGTGTGTGTGTGTGTGTGTGTGTGGTAGTGTTTTTATTTCCTGCACCTGTGATGCTGTCAGCCTACAGAGCATTTGCAGATTTACACTAAGAAGTCTAGCAGAGCCCCTTAATGATACATATGGCCATGATTTATGAATGCATGTGTGCATTGGTATACACAGAAGTGCAATCATATACACTGCATACGTTGTTTGTCTACTATATGATTTGTGCATTTGGGATTTTATTGGTTTTATCTGACATATGTACAACCTTTGTCTATACTTTGGTGAATTACAGTAGAAAATACTTACTGGTGTTCTGGTATCATCACAAACGTACATCCAGCATTCACTTCAATAATCTGATTATAATATAATCATTTATGAGGTGAGAGTTCAGTTAAAGGAGCACCTCATAACTGATGTTCATTTTATTCAGTGTGTGCGTGGAGTTGAACTACACACAGCAGAAAGATGTTAGAAGCAGAGCAGTAACACGATTATTAAACCTTCAACCAAAACTGCTTTTAATAGAAAGGCAAAACAAAAGCACACAAGCAGAAGAGCCCTGCACTATGCAAACATGTGCCCACCACCCCCACCTACCCACCACCATGCAGAAAACCAAAAGTCTTCATGCTTTGTGTTTTTTCTTTCAATGCTAAGGCCAGGCCAGCCAGTTCCAGCCTCCGTCTCTGTCTCCGTCCTCCTCTCTGTCGCCTTGCTCAGAAGTTCAGGTCACTCAGTTTATTCGTCAGTTTGTGGCTTCCTGCCTGCTGGTGTCCGACTCCAACACTGAGCTGTCCTACGTGCTGCCTTCTGAGGCTGTCAAGAAGGGCTGTTTTGAGAGGCTGTTTCAGGTACATTTACACAAGCAAAGAAAACTCTTCTGTTACAGAATAAACTCACAGCCATTGATCGCAAGGTTGGTAGTTTGATCCCTGGTTGCTCCCAGTCTGTATGCCAAATATCCTTGGCCAAGATACTAACCTCAAGTTGCTCATCAATGCATCCATCAGAGTGTGAATGTTTGATAAAAAACACGTGTGTAGAAAAAGAGTAGAAAAAAGTGCTGGTGTGAATGATGAGTAGAAAAGCAGGTCATTTACATCCTTTCTGATGCTGCTGCTGATTCTATACATGGTCTGGCTAATTGCATAAAAGACAATGTGTTTTAAATTTAATCTAATTCAATTCAGTTTTATTTATATAGCACCAAATTACAACCACAGTTACTTCAAGGTGCTTTTGTAAACTAACAACTCTACAATAATACAGAAAACAACTGCCTTGGTGGCTGTGGGAAGGAGAACTCTCTTTTAACAGGAAGTAGCTTCCTGCACAACCAGGTTCAGCAAGGAGCAGTGATACTCTGTGATAGGTCGGCCGTGCAGGGAGGAAGACAGTAGAACTGTGGAAGAGGGCCGTGGATTCATAATCGATGGATGGATGAATGGGTGGATTTGGCCTGCACCAAGCAGACCCCCCACCGGGCACCAAAGAGGCCCAAGCCAGGGGAAGCAACTACAAATGAGTAGCAGTAGAGAGGGAAACCCCCAACCTCCATGACCATGGCCTGCAGTGGGCAGGGCTCAGCAAGGCCCAGGCTCAGGCCTAGCCAGATATACATGTTCCCAAAAGGAGACGAGCAAAACTGAGAATGAAAAAACTAAATGGGATATAATAAAAACTTAAAATGACATAAATAAAGGACAAAGATGTGGAAACCACACAAGTAGTAGTAAAATGTTGAACTCAAAATGCTAGTACAAAGACCCAGCACTGTAAGTGTGACATAAAAAACAACTTTTTAACAGTGTTGCAGTACCCCAAACCTTGGCAGGTCTTAGCATGGTGTGCAGTGTCCTCAAAGAAGTGGACAAAAGAAGACCCATAAAGGCCGACAAACTTCAGTTCAGTTTTATTTATATAGAACCAAACAACAGTCGCCTCAAGGTGCTTTATACTGTAAGGTAGACCCAACAATCATATGACCCCCTATGAGCAGCACTTTGGCGACAGTGGGAAGGAAAAACTCCCTTTTAACAGGAAGAAACCTCCAGCAGAACCAGGCTCAGGGAGGGGCGGGGCCATCTGCTGTGATTGGTTGGGGTGAGAGAAGGAAGCCAGGATAAAGACATGCTGTGGAAGAGAGATTAACAACAAGTGTGAAAACCTCCCGGAGCAGATAACCAGTATCTAAAAGCCACGTCCTTTAGAAACGGGGGAAACATACAGCACCTGACACAGGACCACCTGCACCCGGCCCTTCATTTGACCTACTGTTTGCTGAAGTCTCATCAGAAATGATCTAACTGTAAGAGTGGCTGTCAAGAAGCCATTCTTAAGGAAGTATGCCAAGTTGTGCAAGAACTAGACTGAAACAGGCCTTAAGAATGAAGCCAAGCGTTTCATTTTTGTATCCAATCCTCAGTTTGTAGCAATCAAAAGAAAGCTGAGCATATTTATCGACCTTTAAAACATCTTGACATAAATTTGTTATGATGTTTTACAGGTCGATCTCATAGTTTAATGTGACAATTAAGCCAGCAGTGTTGCTGACAGTACTGACAGGTTGTGATCTATCATGGAGTACCGTCTGGTAAGCATTGGCTTCATTTTTTAGTGATCCCAAACACACTGCAGTGCAGTAAAAGCATATCTGGGTAGACAAATTCCCAGTGAAACACTATCAGCCATTCACTGACCTGCCCAGGAACTCAATGTTATTGTAGCGGTGTGGAATCATCTTGACAGAGAATGAAGCAAAAGGCAGCAAACAGCCACAGATAAGCTTTGGGATCTCCTTCAAAAAGCCTGAATAAGTATACATGAAGACTACTTCCAAATAAAGTTCATTCTTCATTCTGTGCTGAAGAATAAAGGCGGTCATACATAAAGACAGACTTTGTACACAACAATCTTCAAACTCTCATTTTGCCTTATTTACTAATTTGCCATTGTACCTCCAGGCTTTAGAGAAGAGCTTGGACTCCCTGGCACTGACTAGTTTTGGGGTAATGGACACCACCTTAGAGGAGGTCTTTCTCAAAGTGTCTGAAGAGGACCAGTCTCTTGAAAACAGCGATGCTGGTGAGCACATGTTTCTTATATGTTCATATGTGTGTTTTGACTTCATCGGTTGGCACATGGCTGACATGATTACCTTCTTCCCACCCCTGTTATCTCTGAGCAGACGTAAAGGGTTCGCCAGGGGGGAGCTCTGTAGGGAAATCATCAATCGGTTCAGAAGGTTTGGGGGGACCACAGGGTGAGACAGGATCCCAAGTGGAGCCTGAAAAGCCAACGGTGGAACTAAACAATCTGGTGAAGTGCTCCACACTAAGCCAGAGCCAGTCTTCTCTAATGTCCTCCTCATCTGTCGGCTCAGTAAGAGGCGATGAAGGAGGGCTATATACCGACTTCTATGGAGATTACTGTCCGCTCTTTGACAACAGACAGGGGGCTGACTCTGCTAGCCTCCAGGGTAAGACAACAACAACAGCAGATGTACTCTTGTTTGATCGTTCTTTGCCACATCTTTCATGAATTTATACACAAATGAAAAACATTTTTGTTTGTTTGTTTGTTTTTTGCTAGTTTATTAAAAACATCTTTACATTCTCTTACTCTGCTGAGGCAAATGATGGTGTGGTGCACTCTATTGGTTTGAGCATCTTTAAAATGTGTCAAGAAATGATGGTTGGAGACCAGATGATGCAGAGTGACAGTGAATCCAAAATTTGGGAAAAAAGGACCTTAATAAAAGAACAAGTCAATCATCCGTCCATCCTTCCCTCCCTTGTTATGGGGGCAACAGCCTAAGCAGAAAAGCCCTGATCTCCCTCTCCCCAGCCACCTCACCCCACCAGTGTGTTATGGATTTGCTCCAAAGCCTCCTGCAGATGGGTCATGCTGACAATATCTAACCTAGGAGGCACCCAGGCAGCGTCTTGCTCTTGTTCCATCTGAGGTTTGACTAATGGACGAGCTGTCCCTGAGAAGAGACCTTTCTAGGGAAGCTGAGGAGTCTGACCCCCATGTCTTTATCCTGTCTTCCTTCTCTCACCCCAACCAATCACAGCAGATGGCCCCGCCCCTCCCTGAGCCTGGTTCTGACGGAGGTTTCTTCCTGTTAAAAGGGAGTTTTTCCTTCCCACTGTCGCCAAAGTGCTGCTCATAGGGGGTCATATGATTGTTGGGTTTTTCTCTGTAGGTATTATTGTAGGGTCGACCTTACAGTATAAAGTGCCCTGAGGCGACTGTTGTTGTGATTGGGCGCTGTATAAATAAAATTGAACTGAAAGAAACCCTCTGATCCCCCCCTTCTTAAAGATGGGACTCACCACCCCAGATCTCCATGCAGTGCTGCAGAGGAGTATCAATCAAAACAGCCCCACAAGATTTGGAGCCTTTACGAGCTCAGGGCAAACCTCCTCAACCCCAAGGGCATGGCTAGGCTCTTGGTCCTCTACAGAAGATGTGTCAGTGGATTAACATGCTTAAAGTATTCCTTGCAATGCCTGACTACATCATGAGTTCAAGTCAGCAGCACCCACACCCACTACACACTGTAAGTAGTGCTCTGCTTTCCCCTCCTGTACCACTCGTTTGCCAGAATTGCTTCAAAACAAACTGAAAGTCTCTTCCCATGAAGTTTTTGCTTCAGTTACTGCACGAGCCGCCTTCTCTTGGTCTGCCGGTAACCGTCCGCTGCCCACAGTGTAGTAAGCCCAATAAAAATTCTTCTTCAGCTTGAGGTTTACCCTTACCTCCTCTGTTCACCATTTGGTTCAGGGATTACCACCACAACAGGCAATAGCATCTTTGCCGCAGCCTCAGCAATGGAGATGGAGAATATGGTCGATATAGACTCAATATCAGCCTCCTTCAGACTGCTGTCAACATTCTAGTTGAAGAATTCCCAGAGCGGAGCCTCTGCCAGGCACATTTAGGCGTGCCAGGTTCAATATCCTCCCCCACCACCTGATCCTACTCATTACCAGGCGGTGGTCAGTTGATGGCTCTAGCCCTCTCTTCATGCGAATGTTCTGGATAGATCAGAAATCTGATAATACAATAAGACAACTGACCATCAACCTACGGTGTCCTGGTACCATGTGTGTGTATGGGCACCCTTATGTTCAAAAATAGTGTTCGGTATGAACAAACTGTGATTTGCACAGAAGCCAAAAACAGAACCCTGATCTGGTTCGGATCAGGCCATTCCTCCCAGTCACCCCCTTCAGGTCTCACTGTCCACGTGAGTGTTGAAGTCTCCCAGTAAGAAGACAGAGTCACTAGATGGAGCAGTGACTTGAACAGTCCAGGACCTCTCCAGGAGACATGTGTTGAGCCTGCTATAGCCAATATCTCTCAACCTCACACACTAACTCAGACTCCTTCCCCACCAGAGAGGTGGCATTTCATGTCCCAGCAGCCAGCCTCGATATCTAGGGATCAGACTGCCACAGCCTCCATCCCTGACCACTGCCTGACACATGCGATGTTTGAATGGATAAAATGTCAGCCAAGGCACGGACAGAATATCTGTGGAGGGATATAAAGATGGGATTCACAGGCACTTCCATGCATGTCAAACAGAATTTAAGATAACTGAACAAACAGGTGGTAAATATTTATCTAAGATGACTTAAAGTTGAACACGTTTTCAAAGGAAAGAACAGACTTTTTGTTTTATAAAAACACACAGTCTCATCATGAGTTTAGATGCTCATGATGAATCTCATGGCTCGTTTCAGGGTTTAGTGACTTATATTGTCAAAATTTAGATGAATATTTTCATCAGTTTATTAGTTAATACATGCAAGTGACAATGCTACAACATTAAATGTTTTTTTCTTAGTTTTTGTTTTTCTTTAGATCTTTTTTCTTTTCATGCTTCTGGAATAAAAATGCTCATATAGTGTGAGCACTAAAGAATCATACAGACTGGTTGTGATTACTGTTCTCATCCATAATTTGTCAGTTTGTCTATTTCATGTTTTAACTTTTTCACTTTAGGAGATGCAGAGAACCCCTCGTCACCAGAGCCCGAGGTGCTGGAAGGGCAGGGCACCTTCAAGCTGGAGGGTTGGTGGTTGAAACTGAGCCAGTTTCACGGACTTATTATCAAGAGGTTTCACTGTGCCAAGAGGAACACCAAGGGTCTCTTCTCTCAGATCCTCCTGCCTGCCTTCTTTGTCTGTGTGGCCATGACCGTGGCCTTATCTGTGCCCGAGATCGGTGAGATTTTACTCGTCCTTTGCTGGTTGTAATATTGCTGCTGTCCCACCTTAATAAGAAGATGAACAGGATTGCAGAAGTTGTCTGTATACTGTTAAACAGTTCAGTATTTAGATTATGGTGAATACAGTTTTGTACAGAGCTCCTAATACTTTAACAGTCTATTACAAATAAACTGCTGAGCGGGCTCTCAGCAGTTCAGACGATATAAGTTGTTGTGATTTGGCCACATGTAAATAAAACTGTATTGAATTTTATATTCATCGAACAGTCTTTGCTCGTAAACATCTTCCTAAAATAGAAAAACTTAAAATACGTGGATCAAACTTTACAAGACAAATGTTTGAACCAAAGTATTAAAATGAATCATGAAGGTGGTACACTAAGATTAGCAGCAAAGAAACCGAGTAATAGAATAGAATAGAATAGAATAGAATAGAATAGCCCTTTACTCCTGCACGATTGACAATGACAATAAAGTATCGATGGTAAGACAGCAGGAACAAATCTATACAAACAAGAGAAAGGCACATATTGGAGAACAGGTTGCAAAGCGCTTAGAAGTAGTGATAAGGACCCTGAGTCCACGAGTGATGACTGATGAGGGTTACTCAGACCAGACTGTTGAGCTGGGTTGGCAGGGTGGGGTGGAACCCAACTGACCTGAGACGTGAACCAGAACCAGCAGTGGGTCAAACGGGTAATGCTGCACATTTAGTCAGCAGGCGTGACTGTGATCGCTGCCGCCATGATTGTTGATTTTTTGGAAAGCGTAAATGGCGAGGAGGAGTTTTACACACAGTGCCAGAGATTCATGTCCGTGTCCTGCAGCAATCACCTGAAATATTCAGAAAAGAGCCCCCATATTTGTAGCAGAAACACGCACATATGTGAGTGTGTTTCATGTTTAGATTTCACATTTTATATAAGAACAGAGCAGCGTAGTTAAATAATCATTTTATGCTTTCATGCTTAGAAACGGAGAGCATCAATAATCATGGACTGAAAGCGTCACTTTGTCGTCTTGTTGTTAAGTTTGGCTCATTGTGACTCGTGTTGCTATGAAGACTGTGTGATATACCAGGGTGGAGGGTAGCAGTAGCTGGTGAGCACGCTCACTTCAGTCGATATTTAAATTATTTGTTTATTTTATTCACTCAACAGTTAAAACAGTGGAGCTACTAAACGAATGAAATACATGGGTTTCTAGGGCTCAGTGCACTTTATTTTTACAATTAGCTGTAAAATCTACGTAAAAAGATCCCTGATTAATGGATGGATGTTGTGTGTGAATTCTTTTACAGGAGATTTGCCACCCTTGATCTTGTCCCCATCTCAGTATCATAACTACACCCAACCAAGAGGCAACTTCATCCCTTATGCCAATGAAGACAGACCCCAGTACAGGTAGGATGATGTTTAATTTACTGATATAACTCATGCAGATTTTTATCATTAAAACTAAATATTGCAGATGTTTCTTTGACAGTGAAGTCACATTTCTCAGCTGTACATTTACCAAACAAACTGTTTGTGTTTGACTTCTTTTATATTACTCGATATTAGAAAAGGAACTGCTCGTGCTCACTCTAGTGCACGCTAGCCTGAAGTAAAGCAAGTACAGCAACTTGACTGACAAATAACAATGTCTGATATCTCTGTGAATTAAACTGGAACATCGCGTCATGTTTTCAGCAAATAAAAATTCAGCATGCTTGATATTATTTATACTAAACTGTCAGGTTTAATTAGCGTAGACGCCCTGATTGTAACTGTCCTACGTAAGTCCCCACACTGCTGTAGCAACTTGTCTTTTGCTTAGTAAACAGCTGCATATAAGAAAGCTCTACCAAGACATGGAAAGGGTTTCTGGTGGTGAATCATCTCCACATCAGTAATGAAAGGATTAGTTTCAGTATATGTGGCTAAATTGTCAAGTTGTGTGATGATGTGTGCTGATTGTTTATGCCTGCTACTGTCACCCTTACACACAACAGCCAAAGTGACCTGTGTTAAAAACGATATAGCCTTGTGTTAGCAGGACTGTCAGCGATGAGCGTGCCAAGCATAACTGTGGTTCAGGGTCATGGACTAACTCGATCACCTCATATATTATTCCATGGAGTCCTGTCACCTCGACCTGTAGCAGAGCTTAGCAAGGTTGACCAGAAGAGATCTTATGAGTCCAAATACTGGAGCCTTTAGACGCTGAAATAAGCTGTTACTTTAAACAGAATCCTGGTGCACAGCAGCATTTTGCTCAAGTCAACACTGACACAGTGGAATAAAAAGAAATGTGACTGACACATCTTTGGTCCACTCTCAGGAACAAGCTGTCACCAGACGCCAGCCCACAGAAGATCATCAACACCTTCCGCCTGCCCTCGGGTATCGGTGCTACTTGTATCCTCAAAACCCCCTTCAACAGCACCCTGGACCAGCTGGCACAAACCCTCAACCCCAATGCCAATAACTCCAAAACCCTAGCTGCCAAATACTTTGATTCTATGTGTCTGGACTCCTTCACTCAGGGCGTCCCCCTCTCCAACTTTGTGCCCCCACCACCTTCGCCAGCACCTTCAGATGACCCAGACTCTAATTTTGAGGACGGTCTGTGGAACCTAACAGTCACTCCTCCAATTACAGTTCATAGTAAGTGCTTCCATAATATGCGTGCGACCAATTTAACGTATGTAGCTCTAGATCTGAAAATCAAGACTTGACTTAAACAAAAAATAATTAAAGGAACACTTTGGAAACACATCATCATGCTGCATGTCTGAGGTGATGTGGTCCAGGTAATATATATTAGGAGTGAAGGATGACACATCATTTGATGAAAATGATCAATCTACAGAGGGCTGAAGTCAGAGTGAAAAAATGATGCAGCATGCGAGTGTGTTTGGTGGGAAATTAATTGCAGCAAATGCATGCATGTACTTTCTCTATGGCTTCTCCGGACCCGTTCCCGTCTGTCTCACAGTAACAATAACAGGGCACCACTGCTGGACCTGCCAGTTCTGGTATGGTTAAAGGCCAGTCAGGCTCCACAGTGCTGGGCAGTGACCACAGGGCCCCACTAAAGGACCTCGGGCTCTCAGGCCCTGCTGATGATTGTTGGGTTAGAGACATTGACAGCAGTGGGCTGCTGGCTGTCACTTGTAGGTCTCTGGCAGCACTCGTCCTGTTCCACCTGCAGAAAGGAGCAGATACTGGTACAGCTGATGGGTTAAGGACTTTGTGCGGTCCTGTCCAGCTATCCTAGCCTGTGTCTCACCGAATGCTGAGACACAGATAACCTCTGATAATGAAATGTATGGATGTGCCTCGCTGTAGGAGTTGGCCTGCCTGTGCAGCGTCTGCAGGGTGCAGGGAGTACTTCATGCCACCAGTAATGACGCTGCAGTCAGAAAAGATAAGGAGACGAACACTGTCGGTGGCCTTAATCTGAAAACCATTTCTGTTTGGGGGTTGTCTCGTTGTTGCCCATCTAGTCCACCTGGTGTTAATATTATTAACACCAGAGCAGCTGAAACTGATCAATAACCCCTCTGCTCCTTACCTGACCAGATCACCAAGTTTAATTTATGTGATGCCATACTGTGATTGCAAAGTGTTCCTTTCATGTTTTTAAGCAGAATATTGTTATTGTCTTATTATATTTTGCTAATGTGGACCAATAGACACGTACAGTGATGCCTACATGTGTCTTGGCTCGTTGGGAGAGCTAATAAATCATTTCTAACACAGTTTATTCCCCCTGTGTTTTTTCTGTTTTGAGAAGTCCACGTGGACTAAGGAAAAGATCCGCTGAATGAATGATGACTCTTTCACTTTTGCTTAGAGCCTGTTACATCTCCACCTACCTTTCCCTTGTCCATCCATGAGCCGGTGCGCTGCGTCTGCTCTATGCAGGGGACAGGCTTCTCCTGTCCCAGTGGGGTAGGAGGACAACCCCCTCTCATGAAGGTGGTGACCGGTGACATTATGGTGGACATCACAGGCCGGAACGTCTCTGAATATCTGCTTTTCACATCAGACAGAGTGCGGCTGCACAGGTAGGACGGCTGCTGGAGCAACTCTAAGGAAACAGCCACACAACAGAAATACTGACAGCATACTGCAAACTGATGCTTTGACTTTTCAGTGTAGAATCTAATTGCACAAAATACTAGTTGGATCACCTTAGTTTAAACAGAATTATAACTTATATGTTATATGCCATGGGCTGCTACTGGGACCTCCTGAGCCTGAGTAGCCGCGAGCTCCCCTCAGAGTACACAGCAGGCATCATTGCTGAAACATGTGAACACAGAGACACAGCATATAAGGCAAAAACAGAGTTTGTACAGTTCTTTATTCTTCCACACAGCCTAAGCTCTCTTAGGTAATCTTCAGGAACAGTTCTCCAGGCTTCTTGAAGGATATAGCAAAGCTCTTCTTTAGGTTTGCTTAGTGCTCTGGCAGTGTTTGGGATCATTGTGATGTCTGTGAAGGTTCTCAGTTCAGGTCATTATAGTCTAAGGAGCTCAGAAAGAAAAACATCTGGACTTTTTTAACTTGCTTGAAGACGTTTTATCTCCCATCCGAGAAGCTTCTTTAGTTCTAAGAGCAACTGGTGGAGAGTCCCAGATTTTTAAGCCCTATGGGAGTGTCTCTGAGAGAGTCATGGACCCGGTATTGATCCTCTGCCTAATCACGCGAGCCAAGGCGTGAAAACGGATGTGGATGAACCAGTTTGTGTCTGAGTGTGTGGCTGGGTCTGAAGTACACTGGGATGTCGTGCTGGGAGAAGACTCCTGAATTTCTCTAATAAACGCGCTACATGAGGGCTGACAGTGCTGCTCTGTTTGTCCTTCCGATTTTCTCTAGCTGGTGTCTGATCTTCTTTTCTGTGCATCTTTGCTGACTTGATGAGCTTCCTTTACATGTGTGTGCTCCTTCTTTTTCCCTTCAGGCTGAGGCTTAGGGCTGTGGTGGCTGTAGCTCAGGTGGTAGAGCAGATCAGCTACTGGTTGGAAGGTTGGTGCCTTCCCCAGTCTGCATGTCAAATATCCTTGGGCAAGATACTAACCGCAAATTGCCCTCTGATGTGTTCATCAGAGTGTGAATGTGTGTGAATGTAGATTAGTTTGCACTTGTGTTTAGTGCTTGTGTGAATGGGTGAATGAGGCATGTTGTATACAGGACTTTGAGTACTCTGGGAGAGTAGAAAAGCACTCTGTAAGAATCAGTCCATTTACCATCAGGCTTAGAGGGAACATGTTCTGCCCGGTGGTGTAGGGTCCTGATTACTCCAAGTTTGTGTTCCAGAGGGTGATGGGAGTCAAAGAGGAGGTACTGGTCCGTGTGTGTGGGCTTCCGGTAAACTTTGATGTTGAGGTTGCCGTTCTCTTCAATGTGCAGAGCGCAGTCCAGGAAAGGCAAACAGTCGTCCTTTGTGTCTTCCCTGGTGAACTTGATGTTCTTATCCACAGCGTTAATGTGCGCAGTGAAGGATTCCACTTCTTGTGTCTTGATTTTGACCCAAGTGTCGTCCACATATCTGTACCAGTGGCTGGGTACTCTTACTTTGAAAGAGCCAAGAGCCTTCCTTTCCACTTCCTCCATGTAAAGGTTGCTACAATAGGTGACACGGGGGAGCCCATGGCACAGCCATGTTTTTGTCTGTAGAAGCCTTCGTTGTATTTGAAGTATGTAGTGGTGAGGCAGAGGTCTAACAGGGCGATCGTGGCTCAAGAGTTGGGAGTTCGCCTTGTAATCGGAAGGTTGCCGGTTCGAGCCCCGGCTCGGACAGTCTCGGTCGTTGTGTCCTTGGGCAAGACACTTCACCCGTTGCCTACTGGTGGTGGTCAGAGGGCCCGGTGGCGCCAGTGTCCGGCAGCCTCGCCTCTGTCAGTGCGCCCCAGGGTGGCTGTGGCTACAATGTAGCTGCCATCACCAGTGTGTGAATGTGTGTGTGAATGGGTGGATGACTGGATATGTAAAGCGCTTTGGGGTCCTTAGGGACTAGTAAAGCGCTATATAAATACAGGCCATTTACCATTTAACAGTGTGCAGATCTGATCGGGTGTGAAGTTGGTCCTGTCCTCCAAGGAGCTGTCTTCTTGTAGTCGTTGTCTGACAGTCTCCACGGCCTCCGTGGTGGGTATGCAAGTGAAGAGAGAGACTACATCAAAGGACACCATGGTTTCATCTGGATCCAGGGGAAGTTTCTGGACCTTGTCGGTGAAGTCGTGGAGTTCTTGATGTGATGGTCCCTACAAGGGGCGCTAGGATGGTGGTGAGGTGTTTGCAGTGTTGTATGTGGCTGAGGTTATGCTGCTATCAATGGGTCTGAGTGGGACTCCTTTGTGGATCTTTGGAAGTCTACAGGGTATTACATCCCCTTCGTCATGTATGATGAAGAAGCTTCTCGGATGAAACGTCTTCAAGAAGCTTAAAGATGTCCAGATGCTTTTCTTTCCGAGCTCCTGAGATCATTGTCATGCTGAAAAGTAAATCATCAATCAGACACTTTCCAGATGTTATTAATGGTGGATCAGTATTTGCTGGTACTTTTCTGAATTCCTAAGTCCGTTAATTTTGCCAAGTCATACTTATTGTAATTGTGCTTTGCTCTTTGGCTACACTTCGTCTTGATTTCACATGGATACAGTAACATGCACATACTGGTTTTCTGTCAAATTAATTTTGTTACAGATATGGTGGTTTAACAGTGGGCAACATTCAGAAATCAATCCCAACATCTTTTGGGAGAAATCTTCCACCTATGGTTCGTAAAATAGCGGTGCGCAGATCAGCTCAGGTAAAGGCAAAGACGCAATGACTCTAAACTGGACAGGTACAGTATACAATACTGCTAACAGTGCAACTTACTGTGTCCAGGTTCTCTACAACAATAAAGGCTACCACAGCATGCCAACGTATCTGAATGTCCTCAACAATGCCATCCTGCGTGCCAACATGCCTCCCTCCAAGGGCAATCCTGCTGCCTACGGTAGACACGCCAGATATAGCTGCTGAATAAAGTTGTGCCAGTTCGGTTGGTTATTTTTAACTACACAACAGATTGTTTGTTCTGTTTGTTTGCAGGAATCACAGTAACAAACCACCCGATGAATCGCACCAGTGCCAGCCTTTCTTTAGACTATTTGTAAGTGTCTGTGGCTTTACCTCATATATTTATGTGATAGATTCACATTTCTGTTCACGTAAACGATGAGTCTTCATTGTTGGGTAGCTCTGGAAGAAAGCAGACCATCTACTAATCAGAAAGTTGGTGGTTTGATTCCTGGCTCCTCTAGTCAGCATGCCAAGAATCAGTTGTTCTCCCATGCATCCAACAGAGTATGACTGTGTCAGTGTTATATAGAAAGCACTTCAATAGATGAAGCACAGAAAAAGTGTTTGTGTGAATGCGGCAGGTTGTATAAAGTGCTTTGAGTGTTCAGATCGAATAGAAAACCCCGATGTCAGAACCCGTCCATTCAGCATTCATCAAACAGAAAAGTTAGTCATAGACTTCCTTAACCCTCAGCTGTAAAACACTGGGGGTCGTCACCCTTCATGGACACGCTACTTTGTGAACACGATAACTCAAGAACAAGGCGACATATGATTTTCAAATTGATACCATCGGTGCATCTCCTAAAAGTCTCAGATGAGTTTGGATCCTGTTGACCTTGACCTCAAGTTCTGCTAGGAGGCGTAGGAGTAGCGCTGGCAGCTGCTGGTATTTTGTCTCTTCTCTTCATTGGAGTTAAAGTATCTGAATTTTAGGAGCAGGACCCGCCTCCAAACAAGCTCCTTTAGCTTCTTATCTATACATGCTCCCCCAGCTCTACAAGCTGTTCATTCTCGTTTTCGTGCCCCACCCTCCCTCCCCTTTTTCAATTCTTTCACTTCTCATTGGTTCATGGGGGATCTGCCAGGCCCTGGAGCCGCCACCTGTCCCCTCTGAAGCCTTCCCCAAACTGCAGCTCAGTTCATGTTTAAGCCATTCACCTTTATCTACTACAAACACTGTCAAACCTAAAATGAGGACGTGGGTCCAGCGAGTGAATCCAGCCATATGGCTGATGGCTGCTACGCCCTGAGCCTGGTTCTGCCAGGCCTCTCTTCCTGTTGAAAAGACGTTCTCCTAAAAGGGAATGCTTCTCCTGGGCCAGTGTCTATTAAACCCCTTTTCCATTCGTATCTACTCAGATCGACTCGGCGAGGTTTTCAGGGTTTTCGGTTAGGTTGTAGTACCTGGTACCAGGTATGTTTTTAGTATCAGCTCGCCCGGGATCCAAGCAATCCGAGCAGGTACTAAAATGTGACATCATCAGACTGAATGCCACCGATTGGCTGGTCAGTAGCATCACTTGATGAGTCATGAGAGCGTCGGTTTCTATCACCTTTAACTGAGCCTACTCACAGACGAAATGCTGGTTTGGCAGCACGTAGTGAGGCTCCAGATGCTTTGAGTGTGAAGTAACTCCAGACGTCTCACACACCACAGCTGCTCTATCACGTGACGCATACTGCTCCGACGTGCTGAGGTCACTACCTGGGTTACGCCATGTGGCGAGTTATGTGAGGTACTGATATCAGATCATCCATCGCAATTATAACTGTGCTTCGGAAAAACAAATAGCAGAGGAGCCACAAAGAGGCCTGAGAAGAGGACAGAGACAGAGAGAGTGATTCCTCCTTTACTGTAAAGATTGATGTATAGCTTTAACTTCAGAGAGTTTTGCTTTATGAATGTTTCTATCAAAAGTGCTTTGAAATGACTGTTGAGGACCAAATACTGTCAACTGAAACTGAACTAGCTCTCCTCCTTGTTTTTGTACCTGCAGGCTCCAGGGCACAGATGTAGTGATTGCCATCTTCATTATTGTCGCCATGTCCTTTGTCCCAGCCAGCTTTGTGGTTTTCCTAGTAGCAGAAAAATCCACAAAGGCCAAACACCTGCAGTTTGTCAGTGGCTGTGACCCAGTCATCTACTGGCTAGCCAACTATATTTGGGATATGGTGAGGATGTGATGTTGCTGATGTGAATGTCTTACTAAATGCTTTAACGTGTGTGCAGCTCCTGGACATGGTTTCTCCTTTTATCTGTCCTCAGCTGAACTACCTGGTACCTGCTACATGCTGCGTTATTATTCTGTTTGTGTTTGACCTGCCAGCCTACACCTCTCCAACAAACTTCCCTGCTGTCCTCTCCCTCTTTCTTCTCTACGGGTGAGACATCTGTCTGCACACACGATTTTTCACCTTGGTTCTGAGTCTCTGCTCACATTGTTATGTAGTTTAGTTGTATACTGACTTCCATTAAATAGACATAATATACAGAAGTCAGTCCACTTCCACCACCTGCACTTCTCCTTGTAATTGTTTTAGCGCACAGTTCAGACGATTGGTGCTAATGCATTATATAAAGTAACATTTATAGGGATGCTTTTATTACTGCTAACATATTATCATCACTTTGCCTTTCTCTGATATCAGCTGCACACTTGTATTTTTAACAGCTGTAATTTTATAGCATTAGCAAGATATTTTCACAAACAGGGAAAAATATTAAAAACCACATGTCGTGGTGGTTCCGGTACAGTGGATGTCTCCAGGAGCACATTTTGTCATATTGACATGCAAACTCAACTCTAGTATCATGCTAGGTCCTGTTTAGGTGCAGTTTTCACAAAACTCTACTACTTGTCTAAATGTAAATGAAATACTAAGATCTTTTTATAAACATGGAAACATATAGCAAGTTTCTTTCTTCCTCTTTCCAGTTGGTCGATTACTCCCATAATGTATCCTGCATCCTTCTGGTTTAAGGTTCCCAGTACAGCCTATGTCTTTCTCATAGTCATCAACCTCTTCATAGGCATCACTGCAACTGTTGCAACCTTCCTTCTACAGCTCTTTGAACACGACAAGGTCTGTTGGATTCTTATATCTTACCTCAGACACACAGCCAAACACCATCACTCGTTTCCCCTTCAACAGCAAAAGTACAGATTTGATCTTTGAGTTAGATCACCTGCTCTTCCACATACTGGAATGAATACTACAAAATGGAAAAGTATCTGACATGACCTTTGCTTTTTACTGTATTTCTTTCTTTTACTTCTTTTTTTCTTTTTGCAGGATTTGAAAAAAGTGAACAGTTACCTAAAGTCCTGTTTCCTCATCTTCCCCAACTACAACCTGGGTCATGGCCTGATGCAGATGGCCTACAACGAGTACATCAATGAATACTACGCTAAAATAGGTACACTAAGCACCGAGAGGACAATTACAATAAAGTTAAATCTTAAACTACTATGATTTATTTAACAGAGATGAACCAACACTTCTTGCAAGAACCTAAAAGTTGTGCTATACATACTTAAAGATTTATAAGGGTATTCAGAGCACATTCTTAGTCTGGTGCTACAGAAGATTTGTTGAGAACAAAGATTTACAGTCTTGCAGGCTTTTTTGTTTTATTCATAATGATTTTAGGAGATTGAAGAGCAAAGCTGCACATTAAGTTGTTGTAATTATGTGTTTTAGGGCAGTTTGACAAGATGAAATCACCATTTGAGTGGGATATTGTGACTCGAGGACTTGTTGCAATGACAGTCGAAGGCTTTGTTGGCTTCCTCATCACCATCCTCTGTCAGTACAACTTTCTGAGGAACCCGCCGTGAGTTTTCTATATATAGTTTTGAACTGGATGCCTAAAACTTAGTTACACAGAGGGTCGTATGCTGAGAGATCTACAGTTAGAGTTGGCTGAGGACTGTGCTAAAAATGTACTTACAATATAAACAAAGGGTATGTTAAAAACACAACTAAGCATGAATGACTTAACAACAGGAAAAAGGGGAAAAACCCCAGAACTTATGTACTGTACCAAGCCGGCACCAAAGCAGCTTTCAGATTGATGCTTCGTATATAAGACAAATAATGTAGTAGGGTTTCCTGCTGTTACACAGCTTTCAAATATCAGTGTGGCAGGGCGTGGTCTGAGGCGCAGCTGCTTAACAAAATAAAACAAAATAATTCCCCAGCCTTCATGCTCGGGTCGTCTACCAGAGGCCCGGGAGCTTGAGGGTCCAATCCAATTTTATTTATAAAGCAATTTAAAATACCCAGCACAGGACCAAAGTGCTGTACAGAAAACAAGTTAAAAACAGTAGAATAACAGAAAACAGCAAAAATACGTAAATAAAACACAGGGTCCTGCGCAGTATTTTAGCTGTTCCCAGGATTGACTCTGGACAGACAGAAATCTTAGCTCGCACCCTAGGGGGCGTCTCCCATTTTGACCTCGGGACTTCCAGGTTATACTCGGCACAGATGTTCCTGTACACTATGCCGGCCACTTGGTTATGGCGTTCCATGTATGCCCTGCCTGCTAGCATCTTGCACCCTGCTGTTATGTGCTGGATTGTCTCATCTTTACACAGCCTGCACCTGGGGTCTTGCCTGGTGTGATAGACCCCAGCCTCTATGGATCTTGTACTCAGAGCTTGTTCTTGTGCTGCCATGATTAGTGCCTCTGTGCTGTCTTTCAGTCCAGCTTTGTCCAGCCACTGGTAGGATTTCTGGATATCAGCCACCTCTGCTTTCTACCAGTGGTACATAACGTGCACCCTTTGCAGAGAGCTCATTTCCGCCACTTGTATCTGCAATCTCGTTCTTTCGTTCACTACCCAAAGCTTGTGACCATAGTTGAAGGTAGGGACACAGAGAGCTGAAGGCAGGACATAATTAAGAGCTTCACTTTAATGCTCAGCTCTCTCTTCACCACAATGAACTGGTACAGCATCCGCATCACTGCAGGCACAGCACGGATTGGTGCTGTGCCTGCAGCACTCCCCTCGCTTGTGGATAATTATTATTAAACCTTTATTTAACTGGAAAATAGCACTATACCCTAAACAAGACTTCAAACAGCTGCAAACAGCTGAGCTGGAGGCCACCACCTGATGAAGCTAACAGAACCACATCGTCTGCGAAAAGCAGAAGGCTTTCACTTTTTCTGAGACCACAAAAAGTGAAAGCTTTCTGCCACTTGGCTGCACCTAGAAATTCTGTCCATAACAACTATGAAAAGAATCGGTGACAAAGGGCAGCCAAGTCCATCACCCACCGGAAACAAGTAAAACCTATTGCCGGCAATGCAGACCAAGCTCTTGCAACAGTTGTATAAGGATCGAATGGCCCGTAGCAATGGGCCAGACACCCCATATTCTCAGAGCACCTCCAACAGGACAGCCCGAGGGACACGGTCGAATGCCTTCTCCAAGTCCATGAAACACACATAGACTGGTTGGGCAAACTCCCATGCACCCTCAAGTATCCTTGAGAGGGTAAAGAGCTGGTCCAGTGTTCCACGACCAGGACAAAAACTGCATTGTTCCTCCTGTATCCGAGGTTGGACTAACGGACAGACTCTCCTTTCCAGCACCCTGGCATAGACTTTCCCAGGGAGGCTGAGGAGTGTGATCCCCCTATAATTGAAGCAAACCCTCCAGTCCCCTTTCTTGAAGATGGGAACCACCATCCCAGTTTGCCAGTCTAGAGCTACCGCCCCTGATCTCCACACAACATTGTATAGGCGTGTCGAGAAAGACAGCCCCACAACAACATCCAGAGTCTTCAGGAACTCAGGCCGAAGCTCATTTACCCCAGGGGCCACCAAGGAATTATTTAACTGCCTCAGTGACCTCGCCCACGGTGATAGACGACTCATCCCCCTGGTCCCCAGACTCTGCTTCCTCTATGGAAGGAAGAGTGGGATTAAAGAGGTCATTGAAGTTTTCCTTCCACCGTCCGACAGTCCAAATCAGCAGTGCTCCACCCACACTATGCAGAGTGTGGGTGGAGCATTGTTTTCCCCTCCTGAGTCACCTGACAGTTTGCCAGAATGAGGCAATCTGAAAGTCTTTTTCCATGGCCTCTCCAAGCTCCTCCTACAGTTTAAGTTTTTGCTTCAGCCGCTGTTAGGTTTAAATTGTTAAATGTTATCATTGTGTTACTTAAATTTGTAAAACTGTATGATCAAAGACATTCCTTTGTTTCTATTGCCATCCGCAGCCTGTTGACTGGTGGGGGAGGCTGTAGTGTTTATTGTAGGCACATCCTATGTGAGGGTTCTGCTTTCTTGTTTAGTAAGCTTCCTGCTTTTATGATCCTTTTGTGGGCAGGAGGTCACACAAACGCACCCCCAAACACACACACACACACACACCCTCTCGCACAGGCACACACACACACGTGCTTACACATATATGGTACCTTATCTTTTATAACCATAGGGGGGTTTACAATGGGTGGTGCTGTGTGTACTGTAACTGTTTTCAATGAAAGGCAGCAAGCGGAGGCCGGGGTGGAAGTGGTCTGAACGAGGGCAGAAGGGCTGCTCTGAGATCCTCCCTTGCACAAGTAAAATCGCTGTTCGTCTTGCTTCCTTAATGGGAATAAGTCTCTAAACCAGCGGCCTGTGGAAGCACAGACCCAACAGCCGCTGCCCGAGCCAAGTTCTGCTTGAAATTCTCAATGAAATTGATTTTCACTATTCTTTGCTTGTATATGGCTAACGTGAACACAGATGGCACGATACCACTTTTTTATGTCCGATACCGATATGATAAATTTGGATATCTCCCAATAGTGATATAAATCCAATAGAGCATATTTTATAATCAATGAAACGTTTGTTTTTTTCAATATCTTGCTGCATTTTGCACAAGTTCATACTTAAGTTTAAAAAACTAAACTAAACTAAAGCTATTCTGTTACACCTGTATGCAAAAAATACACTGCAGCCAAAATCTTTCATAGTTCAGCAAAACTGATCAATCTAATTTACTTAAACCTGCACCTCCTCCTCATTCTGGTATTTTAAAGAGTACTTAGTGGAAATATTAAACAACCTAACTAACATGCTTGCCAACTCCCAGCAAAAAAAATTTAAAAAAAAGGGAACCACCCCCCACCCTCTGCCTTATATTATATATTATATTATATATGCTTAATTGACGTAATCAAATTTAATTTAATGCACATGTAAAAGAAAATGCACAGAAATCAATTATTTTTCTACAATAATTAAATAGATTCAACATCTTTCTTGCACAGATGGTTCCCAAAGGAAAAAGTACTATAGCTTACTAGGGTATATTAGACTTAATAGTTCCTACACAATAATAATATTATAATGGTCTCCCACGCCACAGCCGCTCTATCACGTGACCACACTGCTGCGACGTGCTACGGTTCTGAGCTGAGTTACGCCGTGTGGCAAGTTTTGTGAGGTGCTTTTGGGATATTTAATGGATCGATTACATTTTTTATTTCTCTCCGATATCCGATCCAGTAATTTAGGTCAGTATCAGACCGACACCGATACGTAATATCGGATCGGTCCATCTAAATACACATACTTTTAAAATACAAATACGTTTAAAAAATGTTGTTGTAAAAGTCTTCAATACAGTTCTGTAACTGCAGACCAAGGAGAAACTATGCTCATATCCCCCTTCTTGTAGTTGATAAAAGATATGTAAAGACAAGTGGAATTACTTACTGACAGAGTGAATACGCTAAAAGATGACTGGAGTATATGTGCTTAGGAGGGTGCCGGTCAGCTCCAAGCCTATCGATGACGATGATGTAGACGTGGCCTGTGAGAGACAAAGAGTGCTGCGTGGAGACGCTGACAATGACATGCTGAAGATCAAGAACCTGACCAAGGTTAAACTTTAATATGTACTTTGCTTTTACACAACTGCATATCTTAAACTATTCGTTCAGTTATGCCATTACTTTAAAATGATCCTACTCTGTTAAAGTGGTCATTACTATCAAAAAGTTACATTGCCTGATCCTCAGGTATACAAATCCAGAAAGATGGGACGTATCCTTGCAGTGGACCGCCTGTGTCTGGGTGTCCGGCCCGGAGAGTGCTTTGGATTGCTCGGAGTAAATGGAGCTGGGAAAACCAGCACCTTTAAGATGCTGACAGGAGACGAGTGTACTACTGGAGGAGAGGCTTTCATTAACAGAAACAGGTTAGTGGCTGAAATAACAGAGTGCACTGTAAATGTGACTGTAACATTCTTAGCAGATACTTTAGCAGCAAAGGACATCAGACATCAAATACATGGGCACTGACTATAGGAAATGGTAAATGGCCTGTATTTATACAGCGCTTTACTAGTCCCTATGGACCCCAAAGCGCTTTACACATCCAGTCATCCAC